AAATAGCTCGTTGAGCAGTTGCCATGAAAGTACTTGTAGAAAAGACAGAGGAAAGCCAAAAAACGTCTGCGAGATAGTGAATGTAGACGGGATGCTAAATCAGGACCAATCACGTTGCATATCCGTCTCTGGATTTTGTAGACTACCTCAAGATGAGCAGCGGAAAATATTATTTTATGCATATAAAAAATATTTTTATCATAATTCGATTCATTGTGCAATTATTTAACTCTGTAATGACTATCAAATAACTACAAGAGCATCGAATTTGGTTTTGTTTCATTGTTTTAGGTCATTTCAAATTTGCTAGTTTATATAATGTCATTCCGATGTCACAGGAGTCAAAACTTAGACGCAGTTTTCGTTTGCACGATAATAACAAAGATAGACATAAGTTTGGTTTTCACGTGAGTCAAGTAGCGTACACGTTGGTTTGCTTTGCATTCGTTTAAAAAAGTTAAGCAGTGTTTTGGATTGCACGAGAAGTATATCAGAAATGTAGACATGCTTTTTTTTTTTTGCCCGGGACTCAAATAAGCAGACGTTGTTTTGGTTTGAGCAAGAGTCATAAAAGAAGAGACATTTCGTTTGTACGTAAGTCCGAAAAGGAGACACGGTTTTTGTTTTCACGAAAATCAAAATACTCTCCACAGATTTAGTTCGCGCGAGGGTTATGAAAGTAGATATCGTTTCAGTATAAATGTGGCCTCATTTTCAGTGGTTGACACCAACGCGCAGAGATAGAGTCGTGTATTCTCGATCGCAACTACCAGCAAGAAAATTGGTATTATCCTTAAGAAACTAAAAATTGAAGGTGCCCCCTTGTTAATATGACTGATGCAGACGGTGCTAACGAACTGGCTATATTATCAGACTATAATCGCTGGAGCTAGTAAACTATTTAATATTTGAGAACGAACATCCGGGATATCGTTTTGTATATAAATGCGATAAAAACAGAATACATCATTTACAGTATTAATCAGCTTAATCAGCTCTTTTAAGTAAGTTGTTAAATTCCGTGAACAACTTCACACCTCTGGGCTCAATTTCAATAGAGGAATATGTATTGACATGATTTGCCCGTAGTGTAGCAATTAGAGGCATGGAAACTGAATTCGTCATCTCGTGTTTAAAATCCTCCCCGCAATCTTGTGTTCGCCTTGGCACAATAAGACAGGGTGACTTTTTTTTTTTTACTGATTTTAGAAAATTAACATTGCAGTCAATAGGAAAGTTGTTCTTTGAGTTGCTAAGTATTGACACCAAAAATTAGATGCATAGCTTTTAGCAATATTTGAGCATTTAGTTCTGAAAATATGTTCGGAAATACCTAATTTCTTCAGGTTTTTCTTCCAAACTGACTTCAATATTTTACCATTTCAAGAATAATCCAGATAAAATTGGTATATTTTTTTTAGATACATTAAATGGAAAATATATTCAAACCACAATTTTAATTATGAACTACCACAAACAAAATATGCAGGTTTTTAATGTATTCGATAATTAAAATTGTAAAAAGTTTACAAAAAAATATTGCTCAATGAATAATATTTGTTAAAAAACAATTATTAAAAAAAAAAAAAAAAAAAAAAAACACAGATAAAAGTGTATAACACTGTTAATATCTCCTGGGGATAAATCATAATATGTTTGAATTGTTTAATTAAAATCACGGCTAAACTGCTTCAATATATAACATATAAAATTATGTAACTTAATTGTCCAGTATAATTTCCGTTTGAGTTAAATGAAGGTCTTATTTGATGGCATAATGATAAAGTAATAATGTACTTGTGACATGCATCATGTCCTTACAAAATTTGTAAAGTTTCAGAAAATTATAAATTTTATAAGACTGTGGTACCAGGCTTTCAGAGATCACCGGAATTAAATTCCAATGCTACGATTTTGAGATTAAACTAAATCTTTTAAACTCATTCAAATTCTTTCGTATATCTATTTATCATGTTAAACCTTAACTTTCAAATTGTAATTCCAATGTTCCAAATATCGTCCTGCCGTATTGGCACAAATATTCGTGAAAACGTATGAATCTTCCACTTGTCTCCCCAACTGAGATTGGCACCTCTGAAGCAATTAAGTGCAATCTTGAAATCAGATCTGTCTTAAAATATTGAAAAATATTTATTTCATGTTGTTGTGTAAATAGTCAAGTTGTACAGTTCGTCTACCAGGACTCAAACAAAACCAAAAGAATATGAAAATATAATAGAAGGTAATGATACACGTAAGGCTACGAGCGATTCTCACCATATAATGTAAGGACCAACTGGCAAAAGAAAAACTCTATTAATATACAAACTAATGTGGGAAATGTTTCTCAAATTTGCTGGATATTGTTAGAGAATCAAAGTAGTATTTATTAGCGATGCATTTTAATGATTTTCGAAGGCAAACGTTTACCGGCTCACTGAAGATACTGTATAGAATATGGATGAGCATCTAACTGCCAGAAAAGGAAAGATGGCGTCATGAAGTCAAGCAAATCCGTGTAAGTTAAAAATCCAAAAGCCAGAGTGGATTAATAATTATAAAGAGATGAAATTCTCGTTAGAGAAAGAAAAAAACTTGCTGATATATAACATCTGATCTTACCTATGGCAGCAAATGTTAGCGTGGTGGTGTCCTCCCTCTAAGTGTCTATGTTAGACGCTTCCGCTTACTATGTTTTCTTGGAGAGAAGGTTCGGGGAACAATGAACAGGGAACAGTTAATAGATTGAGCGCTAGTTCATATGATACACTCTCACTAGTCGCGTAATACTATTCTGGTGTACTTCCTGTTTAATATACGATATATCTGCAAACCAGGTTTTTTTATTACTTAACCATTTACTTGGTCGCAACAGTTAGACGATCATATTACAGATGTATAGACTTGAAATGGCAGATAGAAGATTCGAGAGAAGAATTCTAAGAATAACAGAAATTTGAAGAAAGAAAACTAATACTGACAATCATGAAGAAACAGCTGACATTTCTGGAATGCGAAGAGTGCTTGGGAATATACATGTTGTAACCAAGTAAATGGTTAAGAAATAACAGGACAAGATATTGCAGATGAATCAAATATTGAACAGAAAAGTATTACGCGACTTCGGAGTATATGAGTCGGTTTACCAGCGTTTAAGCAATATCTACTATTCCCCCGAGGCATACTAATTTTATAGTAAGTGGAAGAGTCCCCAATAGACTCATTAGAGTGAGGAAATCACAGAAATAGGATATAGGGAAAAACAGTGAATATCTTAATAAGTTTATATAATGGGATGTTCAAACAAGGTCTGATTAAAATGTATCAGGGCTGGTTCTATAAAAATACGACTACAAAGCATATCAATTTGGCATTTAATATCCTTCGTATTTCCCTTCTAGAGCTGCACACATTATCCAGCGTCGTTCCCATTGATTGAAGCTGTCAAAAAACTTCTTTTTGGGATAAGGAGCATTCTCGTGGATTTTCTTGATGTCTTGAAGTTTTGTTCCTATCAAGTCGCAAGGGGAGATAATATGCGAATAGAGTGGTTTTCGGACCTCGGGAATATCGTAATGGGCGAAAACATGCTGCCCAAGACATTGTCACTGATAGAATCTCTGTAATGTGGTGAGACGACCATACACTGCACAGTTTCCTTGCAAGTAATTCTATAATCAACGGAAGTGAGTGAGAACGTGATAACTTAGTGTGTCTGACCGACATAGCTCAAGGTCAAACGGCTTGACTCTGCGTACTTTCCTTCTGTTACTATAACACAGTCCCGATAATTTTTGAGCAGATTTCATAAACGGGCGAGACAGAGTCAAATGTTACTTAGAACAACAAAATACCGGAAGTTGTGGAGAGTCATGGTCGCATGTCTCTAGAAAGGAAACAGGAGTTTAAAGAAGAGTTTAATATTCACGACTGAATTAAATGCATTGACAAGTAAGTAAACAGTGTTCAAATATAAATGTGTTGCTTAAAATATATGATTTTTTAATATCTCTTTATATCTGCATATCAATTTATGTACCTAAATATAGTGAAAATTATACAGTGGTAATTTCATTTAGATATTGAAGCAATAACTGTGCGACTGTATACGAACTTAGAAGTTTACAGTCGCAAATATATATGTTAAAGGTGAAATGAACATTTGGTAAGTTGTTGTACGTAATGATTGTCAACAGAAGATATTTCGTCTTATATATTGGGATCGATTTTTATTGAAAAAAAAAATCAGTAGAAAATATTCCTGTCTTAAATAATGATCTTTCGTGGCAGAAGCTGATTAAGTTTTTCCTTATCCACCAAATATGTCAGAGAGATGAGAACAGAGATAAACAAATGGCAAGATTATATATTAAATCAAACTGTCAAAGATATCAGATCGAGTAGTTTAAAAAAAAAAAACACTTATTGAAGATAATTGAAAGCAATAAAATTAGATTTTACTTTAGAAACACTCATCATTTACCAACACATATACTTATCTTCCATGTTTTTTTTTTGGATATATCCTCACACCTGTACGAGAAAACACATAGATGGTTTCTGTTCATATACCGATAGAGAGTACACATTAGTACTGCTGACAAGCGGAAAACTCCATACTTAATAAATGTTCACTGTCGTAACACATAAACAGTCATATATATATATATATATATATATATATATATATATATATATATATATATATATATATATGAATTCCAATAACCAACAATTACTATTCTACAAAATGAATTCCAATAACCAACAATTATTTTTATAAAAAAAATTATAACATAAGTATTTATTTCATAAAAAAATAGCCATTTTAAGTATGTTACTCTGTGTCTTATCAAAATGGTGTTTTTTTTTCAACATCATCACTTGATAAGACACAGAGTGTGTTGAAACAAAATGGCTATATTTGTAGTGATTTTATAACATGCTTATGTTATATTTTTTTTAAAAAAATAATATATATATATATATATATATATATATATATATATATATATATATATATATATATATATATATATATATATATATATATATATATGACTGTTTATGTGTTAATGTGTAGATATATATGTATACATATATGTGTGTGTGTGTGTGTGTGTGTGTGTGTGTGTGTGTTAGCGCGCGTGTGCATGTGTGTGATGGGTGTCGACTCGTAAAGCGAGTATGACCATCACTGACATGTCCGGCCAATCAGTTAAGCTCCCCCACATCACTGCATTCATTGGTTGCGTGAACGCCATCGATCTGCATTTCTTCTCACATATGTGGCATACCAAATCATCTCTTCCAATATGCCGTTTCATATGCCTTGTCAGGCCCAACCTGGTCCTGCACACCCTAGTGCACGTTGGGCATTCAAAGCATGCCATTATAAAATCGTCATATAGAATTGATTGTTGGTACTGATGTGACCGCGGGTGACTCAGCCAACTGAACCTTGAGAGATATACCGACTGCATTGGGCACATGACCAGGTTGGCATCTCATGGCAATTCAGGAATCCCTTCGGAACCACTTTCTTCAGTTCTGCATATTTTTGTTATGTCTCATGGGAGATATTGACGTCGTCAGCAATACCAGTTCTTCAAGAAACCCGGTCTTCAGAGAGCCTCTCCTAGTTATGCCGACCAATATGGAACTTGCATAGTGACAATCTTTAAGGCAGTCTTTGTATCAAAGTTTGGGCTGGTGCTGCTGTCTTTTCCCATTTCCAATTCTATGGCCCGTCCATCGCAATCTATGCTTGTGTATAAATGCTTCCACTCAGAGATAATTGGCCTTTTGTAGAACAAAGCTATCAGGGGTGTGAGATATCCAGTGGACGTCATGATATACGTTAGGTACCTTTCAACCAACACTTTTTCAAAGGTATACGTTGGCATGTGGGAATGTAATTGAAGACACACTCAATATAATAAATGAGAAGGGTAAATTGGAACGCGATTAAAAAGGAAATTTTAAAATCAGGTACCTAAGATATATCATGACATCCATGCTGTTTATATATACATATATATGAAGAAGAATAGGATTCACACCTTGGGAAAGGTGTAAATCCTATTCTTCTCCCTCCAGCTATGGGTTAAATAGCAGGACAGACTGGGTTCTATAGCCTTGGATGGCAACTGGTCTAGGAGAAGGACAACTCTGAATCCAAAACCTGAGGCAGGTTGTTTGGGAACCTTGTGGCACGTATTGCACCAGGTCTCTGTATTCGGCCCTTCAAAAAGTGTGGATGGTCCTGCACGAAATTTTCACCACTATAATCGAATCTCAAGTGCCGGTGTCAGGCTGTCAGTTTCCTAGAAACTGATCTGTTTGACCCTCATACGTCGAACCCGACGGGAGAATCGATTTATATATATATATATATATATATATATATATATATATATATATATATATATATAACATTCCTTTGTCAAATTTTAAACAATTAATTTTAATCTTGAAACAAAGCATTCGTTAAATTCTAACGTATTTTGTGATGGTTTATGGAAGCTATTGAATTTATTATAAAAACTGCAATCTAAAGTTATTATGCAAAACGAGACAACTACTTTCTACTTCAAAAACAAGGTAATAAATTCAAGAAGAATTGGTCAAACTCTATAAGAGAACAAATAACAAACATATATGATAATTTACATCGTAATATAGTGACCCTTATTCTAAATAGCAGCCAGCAATCTATTATCAACTGATTTCGTTGAATTTTCTTTTACATCATCACATTCATTTTCTGATATAGTGGTTTTAATTTTCTCAAAAGTCTGCTTTCCTGTCATATTGTTTGCTAGGCTCATATAATTTCATCAACTGACCGTAGATTTTCGATCGGATTCAGGTCAGTACATGATGGACGCCATTTAATTAGCTTCTCTCCTGAAAACCTATTACGTTATTAAATTCAGTCGTAACCTTAGGTTCATGAGAAGTAGCTTTGTCATATATAAATACACACTTCAATTTGAAACCGTGAGACTGTGACTTGTGTCATTCAAAGAAAATCTTGTCCATGAAATCGCAATAGTTAGCAGTGTTTAATGTAACTGAAAATATAGCTGCTTTGAAATGGCCAATACTGGTTTGGTAGACAATTGCAGATCATAAAGTGTCACTAGCGTCTCTTTGCTGCCTTCTTTTATCCGCAAGCAGATATGCACCCGATAAAATCTATCCTTTGGTCCATGCATTATGTCCATTGAGAGGCACCTGAGTTTCGTCCGTGAAGATTACTTTAAAAAAGTCAATTTTGATGTAATTCTTCGCACAATTATGACGCTTTAAATATTTGTTTTACTGAGGGGAGTTTGCCGAGATTTCTTGACAAATCCCAGTTTGTAAAGCATTCTACCACTTTTGTCGTTTTGAACTCCCTCAATTCCAACCTGTTCAAACATCGGAGCACTGATAAAAAGTGACTTTTTTCGCTATAACTCGTTTTATTATACGTTTTCTTTCAAGGAGACGAGT